AATATACTCCAAATAATTACCCAGTTTGTCCAAAGATTTTTCCAACGTGCCTGACAATCTCTAGGTACATTTATTCTCCTCAAGGTAGGTACAATTATTAAAATAATGATGAATCAAATAAATTAATTTAGGATATAATAGGAGATATAAAGGCTACCCCAACAATTTTCAAATTTTAATAAATAAAATTTTGAGCGGAGGCTATAACAATTCTGTTAAAATTCCCCAGTTAGAGTTTAACGAGGATAAAAAATTTGCCAATGAATTCAGATTGTCGTTAAATAGGAAGCAAATATTTTCGCTCAATAAATCCTGGAAAAAAATTTCGAGGAATATTGATACCATTGGTGTAATTATGTTTGTTAAGTAATCTTCTTTTTTTTAAAGTATATTTGAAATAAATATAATGTTAAAATGTATAATTTATTAAAAATTTATAAATTATATTTACCCTTGAATGGTATATTGGGGCACAGTTACACACCAGAAATTTTTAAATTATTGAAAAAAAAATTCGCCCATATTTTTCTTCGGTTTATTCAGCATTCTTCTATTTAAAAATTATTTTTTTTTTTAAAATACATTATTATTTGCAAAAGTTTACAATTAATATTTAAATATTAATTTTAAAAAAATTTAATTATAGCGTGGATAGATTTTTTATAATAAAAATATGAAATATATTATATAAAATTTTTTTTATCTTCGACACTTTTCACAAAATCTTTTATTAAATTTTAAGTTAACATTAAATTTTCAAAATTTTAATTAATACTAAATCTTCCTAATTTTTATATTTTATAAATTAAATTAAGGTTTACTTAATAAATATCAAAAATATTTAAGCTTATCGTAAGAATTTTAGTGAAATATAACAGCTTTAAAATGGGGGTAAAATTATGTTTCACTTAATCACTCGCCTTATTTTATCCCTCTCCCTCAAGAGTTAAGTATTATACCCTTTGGCAAAAAAAAAGATTATTTTCTTCGAATTCCAAGTTGCTACCTTTGTTCCGATATATATTGGTTGATAAACACATAAACAACAGCATAAAGTTAGAAACGCAGGCAGAAATAGTAATAAATATTAAGGATGAAGCCATTAGTAATTTTGGTGACTTTGACAAATTTAATTGAATTTTCTCTAGCATAAATATTACCATTTCGGACTTAAAGATTATAAAGTGGAGTATTTTTGGGTAAGGTATAGTAAACAAATATATTATTTTGCACATGAATATTAATTATAATTTTATATTTATATTTATAAGTAAATTAAATTATATTTTTTATAATAATTTATAATTTACAAATTTAAAAACCTGGATTTAGTTGACAGAAGAACCATTTATAGAGTCTATAAAGAAAACGCTAGGGGACAAATTAAACAATACAATAGAAACCATTTACAAGATAACGATAAAATTTATATTGACAACCTTAGTTAAAAAATATTTCATGGCCAAAGATTCCATTCGATAAAATAAACCAAAAATTACAATGAAAAATATTTAAAAGACTTTTTTTTAAACCTTTCATTCGTTGATAAAATTAAAAAAATATCATTTTAATTAATATATATAAATATATTATTTCTATGCCATTTTTGTTGATCCCGACTCTGAAATTATTAACTATTATATATTCAATTCATTCAGAAGTTTTTCCCCAACATGGTTTCTATTATTTATTACAAAGGTAACTAATAGGGCCTCCTGGGCCGTGCTAAGGGGGAGGCATGCGATACCTCCGCACCAGACGCCTATTTTGGAGGCCTCCAAATTTTACACCAACTAAGGTCAAATTATTTTAGAATCTTTTTACAAATTCTCTGATCCCTCCTTCCAGCATTTCAGATCATTACATTATCTTTAACATTAAAAATTTATAATTGTAACGAAAAAAATACTTTCATTTAATGTGTTTTTTGTCTAAATTTAATAAGAATAACATAATACCAATGGATATAATCGACATTGATATCTCTAGATCGCGTAGATATTAATTAACGCTTTGTAAACAAAAATATTTAAATTTATGGTATATTTTATTAATTACTCATATTTGTAAAGCAAACATTTATAGCGGTAATTCATTAAAGATCTTAATAAGTATCTATGCTTCCTGTATTTTTTGCAAACAAAATATCGGAAAAATTTCGATATGAGATATCAATTTTGAAAATATTTTTTATAGAAAATATCGTTAAGTATAAATGAATGTATAAAAATAAAATTATCAATCCTTTTCATAGGCATAGCCAGGATTATAGTGGTAGTTGGGGGGGGGGCTTTTAGGTAGAGGTTTTCCCATATATTTTATTAGAGGTCTTTAACATTTAATGTAGATCTATGGCTAAATTAGATTTTTATAAAAATAATTTTTGGTTTTCACTTTAAAATATAAAAATGTTATTTTCCTAAGAAGTTTGATTTATAATCTATTTTAAACTTATAGAATTTTTTTAAATTTTTCTCTATTGTGATATAATATCTAAATGTGTTCAGGGAGAAGGGGCGGGGATGTGTAGGGAGAATATTTTTATGAGTTTAAAATGATATTTAGGAGAATAGAAAAATTTACGAAGGGGCATTTTTCCTTGCCTCCCTCCTAAATACACTTATAATCCTCTTATGCTTACATGATCCTAGATGGGAGGAAGGGGGGTGACTAGCCCTCATAGACATACTCTTTGTTTCAAGAAAAATTATAATCTACTTAATGATGAGCAAAATGATGCCCAAAAATTAAATATTTTATAGTATTCTAAATCTTACAAAGCCCAATGATGAATTCTCATGTTTCAACACTACCATCATTTTAGAGAGCCCAAATACGATCTGCTGAAACATTTGATGAACTGTGTTAAATGATTATATAGAATAATCAAAGTACCTTCCTACCCTCTAAGATTTGTAACTTCAGACCTCAAAAGAGCATCGAAAATGAATATAGGAATATATTTCAAATATTCGAATTGAATAATATTATTTTGAGTAATTTTAAATTCATCTTAAACAATTGAATATTGTATTATTAAATTATATTTTATACTTATTTATATTTTTTAAAAAAATAGATGAATTTTTTAAGTAAGATTCCCTAAATATAATATATATACCATATTTAATTGTAAACAAAAATGATATCAAAGAATCTTGTGGATTATATTTTAAAAATGATAAGTTGATGAATATGAAATTGCCTACAAAGTACAGACAATCCAATCATGAATCTACAAAATGGGAAGTTATTTTTATTTAATAATCATCCATTTTCTATCCTTTAATTTTTTTACTCCCATAAAATATTTTAACGAGAACAATATTGCTTTTTTATATTAATAATAATAAATTATCAGAATTTAAAGTTATCATTATTGATTATAAAACAAATTGATCTTATAAAATATAATATACACTCCTTTTAAAGCTGTTTATTTCTCTTACTTTCATTAGCTCTACTTGACTTCTAGTAACAGCCCGTCTTTGCATAATTATTTTTAGCTCAGGACTGTTGTACAAAGGTTAAAGAAAGCTGATGAGAGATAACAAAAAAATTTTTGAACTTATCAATAGCTAAATTCAAATGCATTTTAAAATTTCGTTTCGTTTTATTTTATTTTTTATCTATTTTTAGATTTGTCCCAATATTCCCTCAGTGATTTCTATGCCACTAAGCCAATGGCGACATTACCTCTCTAAAAAAATTAACACCCTTCCACCAAATATTTTACCCCTATTTGCCTCTAAATTTTATTTCCATACTCACATCCTACCGAATTAAAATTAGAAAAAAAGGAGATGCAAATCAAAATTGTCCTCGACAACTCTCTTATTATATATAAACGATGAAAGCATCTCAATAACTACCGAAATATATCCAATTTTAATGATGTTCTTACATCATACTCCCCCCCTCTCCGTCTCACCAGAGTATAAGTCCATGGATGTCTTATCTCCTCTAATTTTGTTTGTACTGGGGCGGTAGGCAGGGAGTTGTATAATATAAGAATTTTATTTAATTTATAATTTTTCCAATCCTCTAATAAATTTAAAATATCTCTATATATATATTTTTAAATTAATTGTTAATAATTTAATATATTAATAGAAAATCATGTTATAGAATACAATGTAAGAATGAAATAAATTGCAATTTATATACAATACCTTAGCATAAATTAAATAATTTTATATATAAATCCATATTTAACAGTTTGTACGACAATATAAAATAAAAAAATCATATGCATAATAATAAAGTTCTCATTCTTTAGGATAAGCTAAACAATATATAGAACCATATCTAATAGAAAATTTCATTGAGGTCTAGAAAATAAATTTTAAGGAATCGATATGGGTAAATTTCAGTTTTTTAAAAACACTTCTTCGTCATTATTTTATTTCGAGTGTAATTATATGAGAGTTGACAGGTAGACTGAGAATTGGCAGGTAAACTGAGAATTGACATGTCAACTAAGAATAGTTATCATTAACTAATAATGATGGAAACCTCAATTTTTTTATTTTATGTTTACAAGTTATACAAAATGAGTCATAAAAAAAAATATATTTTAAAGCCCAAAAATATCAAAAGAAATGACTAAACTAAACTGAGAGTGAACATTATAACTCCAAAAATAATGATTCAAACTTAACTTTTTTTATTTTATGATTAGGTTAGCTTACACAAAATGATTTATAAAATTGACTAAACTAAGAATGAATATTATAACTCCTAAAATAATGATGTAAACTTCCAATTTTTTATTTTATGATTATATGAAGTAACAAATAAATTGATCCTGTGCAAAAATTATGTTCCTTTAATTCTATTTATTTTAGCTAAATTTTTTATTACACTATCTAACGAAATTTATTTTATCATTTTAAAATACTATTATGAGCTCTGATATATAATATATCTGTCTTAATTATAAATTTATGGACTACTTTTTATTCCATATTTTATTTTAAAAATTTTGATTTTAGATAAATTTTATTTATATAACCATTTTATGTAAATATTTAAAATATAATTGATCGCCTATATAAGTTAAAAATAAATTTACCTGTCCATTCTTAGTTTACCTGTCAATTCTCTCTTTACTCACACCGTAATTTTGTGTTTTTTTTTAAATATAAAAAAATTTCTTCTACTCTAGGACTTCTTTTATAATTTTAAAATATTATAATCACATTGTAATTTGACGACAATATGGAGATGGAGACTCTTACCCCATTCACATATTGGGCTCAAAATGATACTTTTATATTTTTAAAAATTGAATTGACTGATGTTAAGGTAATCTTTTATTTTATTGCTCACAATAACTATTTTTTAGAAATCAAAAGTTAATATTACAGATAAAATTTTAAAATTTGACGCTATAGGGACAGGGGTATTGGGTGAAAATAGATATAATTTTACGCTAGAATTCTATGGTTTAATTATACCAGAAGTAAATAAAAAAGAATGTGTAAGAATATCATTGATATTTAGGAATATGAATTATATCCAAAAAAAATGTACTTAAATTTTAAAATTAAAAAATTGCAATCTAAATGGTGGCCCAGATTGTTGAATGTCAATAAAAAACCCACATGGTTAAAAATTGATTTTGAAAAGTGGCGTGAAGAAGAAGATTTAGATAATATTGCAGATGATTTAGTAAATATATGTGATATTCTTTATTATATTATATACATAGGAAGATGAGTTTATAAATCAAGATATGATAAATAAATCCTTTAATGATTTTAAGAATCCAGACCATATAAGTAGAATTATTAGTTTTAAATTATTTTATTGATTATTTTAGATGCTTTTTTCAAACCAAATTTGGTATTCTTTTATGATAGCTTGATTTTTGTAAATTTGTTGATCTTTTTAGTTGGATTATTAATTCATAATTTTAATCATAAAGGTAATAATTTATTTTATTAGTTATATTTATTTGTTTAAGAGTATAATATATATCAAGTATTTGGTGTTAGAATGTTTTTAATTCAATGTTTGCAAGGATGTGAAATTATATTTGTCATCATGAAAAAAATAAACAAAAGTTGGGTTTATTCATTAGCTAATGTAATTAACTTTTATATACACCAATTTTATACCAATTTAGGTTTTTAGTCATATAATTATGATTCATATATTATGTTTTTATTTTATTCCAAAAATGCAAACTAAACCACTCGTTTTTCACCTATTTTTAACTTGGAGTCTGGAAGGAATTTTAAGGTATAATATTGTATAGGTTTTATCCACATTTTTAATTCATTTTATTTAGATATCCTTACTATATTATATCAAGTCTTGTCAAAAACAATGATACAAATACAATACAGCCAATTAATGGAATTTTAATATGGTTACGTTACACTGTATGGTTAATTGTGTGTCCTCTTCAATATTTTATTGAATGTTTATTTAATTTATTAATGAAAAAAAAACTTGCTATTTTTAGGTTTAACTCTTTTAAGAGCTAGTAAATATTATCATGGTGCAAATTATAGCTTGCCTTTCAATCCTTCATCTTTGATAAACATATACATAATACTTCATATTCTAGGTTTTATTATAAATATAATTAATAGTGTTGTTAATTACTGTATCAAGCCATAATGCCTGACTATATTTTAACAATTCCTCATAGTTTTATTTGTAGCCATTTATGCCCTTGAAATATTATTTTATGTTTAAAAATTAATTATAGAAAAGCTGGCAAGTAAAATGAGTGGTGCTACCAGGCTCACCACAGATTTTTTTGGTGGCAGAGGTGGGGTGAAAAAATTTTTAAGATGCTATTTAATTATATTTATGTATTATATTATTATTTTAACAATTAATTTTGGTTTATTATTTGGTAGGGATATAGAAATCAATTAATCTGTTAGCTCAGATATCATTATTTGTCTAATTTTTAGGGATGTACCGATATTTTTCATCGGATCGGGCGGATATCTCACCCATTTTAAAATATCAGTTATTGGCCAATATTATAAACTTTTCCTATCCGATCCAATATAAAATGGCGTCTTTAACAAAAATAAAATTTAAAAAAAAGTTACATCCCAAAATCATTTATTTTTATAAAAAATCCATTTTTAGGTATATTTTTTTAATAATAATAATTAATTAATAAACATTCTGCTATATTGTTATTATTTTTGTGCATTCTGTTTATAAAAGTGTGCGATAATCTTCAGAATCTGTTTTTAGTGAAGCTGGTGATATTGACAGTTACCATCGCTGAAGGCTGACCTCTTATAAATTGGAAATATTGATATTTCTAAAAAGAAATCTTCAATACATTAATGTTAAATATTATTTTAAATATTTATTTCAAATTTCATAATATAATTACTTATTATATAAAAGTGATTTAACAATAAAAATATTTTATATACTTTTACAATTGCAATTGAATTGAATATAAACTATAACTAATCATTTAAATGACATATGTTATGGTATAGGTAAATTATAGATGTTATACTAATAAAAAGTATATTAAAAATTAAAACCATTGGCATCTTTACAGAATACAAATTAGATATGATATCGGATCGGTAATATGTCGATATCAATTTAATATCAGGAATATCGGATCGGCCTCCAATAAGTAGTATCGGTACACCCCTACTAATTTTATATAGTAATTTATTTAATATTTTCTTTAATAAACATTTATTTAACTATTGAGCATATTAGATATTAGCTAAACTGTGCCAAGATTTCAAGATTATAAATTGTTTGAAAATATTTAATGTGAATTTTACAAAATCATTGCGATTTTAAAGAAAACTAAAACTTATAACCCTGAATTTACAGTTGGCGATAATTTGCTGCAAAGTATACAAAAATACAAGCATAATAGAAATGCAGAGAATGGGATTCAAGTGAAATGGGCTTACATCCAATTTATATATATAACGAAAATAGCAAACAAATATTTCCAAGAAACGACATTTAGTGCAAAAATGCCACAATTTATTCGGCGTAACTTGGGCTTTATAGACATGCTAATTTAGCTAGGAATGTACATTATATACATGCAACCAATGCACCTGGCGAAATGACCGATTCCATTGTTGGATTAATACTCAATGCAAAAAGTACCTCTTTATGCCCCACCAATCTGTAGAAAACAATATTTACATGACAATTATAATTTAAGTAAATTTAATTTCTAATTTATTTCTATTTCTTACTTTATTTGTGTGCATTCCACATTTATATGTGAATATCTATCGATAAGACTTTATACGTGACCCTGAGTTAAAAGGCAATTTCTGAATCTATTTCGAAGTAAGAGATACATAAATTTATTTAAAAGTGGGGCAGGAAATTATTAAGAACTATACTATATTAACCTTGGAACTAAGAATGCCCAAATAAATTTAAAAATTTGGGAATATATATAAAATTGTAGTTTCATAGTAAGATTCTGTGGCCTAGTTGATGAATATGAATCTCGCTCATTATATATATTTGGGTTCGAATTCAGCAAGGATTAGTTTTCTGAAGCTAACTAGGTGATTTTATGCTAGGTGTATGCTATATAGTTATCGGAATTGATTTCAAGATTATCTATTAATTTCTATTAAAAATGGGTTTTAATATTTTAAAAAGAAATTTGGTCGTTGTTCAGCAAATTGCTATGTTTTGATGTGTCATTGTTTGGCATTAGCCAAAATAATATTTTAAATGCACCAATATATACAAAAAAGCTACGGGGGATTGATAAAATAGAGACTCGGTAATAATTTAATCCATTATTCGAGTTAAGTATGATAGCTGAATTTTTAATCAAATCTTCAAAATGAATGATATCATTTGGCTCTAGAGTTAAAAAAAATTTCATATAATAATGAGTTAACAAACTTAAAGAAAGATAAAGGTTTACATCAGTTTGAACTAGTGCAGTAAAGTGACGTCAAAAAGTAACGTAGTTACTAACGGCGTTACATTTTTTGAAGAAAAGGAATTCCATTCGTTACCTTCTTCTAGAGGTAACGGTAAAGCTTTTCTTTTTTGATTAATGGAAACGCAAAACCTTACTCGTTACTTAAAATTTTTTATTAAAAAATATAATTATAAAATTATTTTATTACTTCATTTTTATTTTAAATTTTCAGTCAAGATTGTTAATCTAATTTATATAGAACCAAAGATATATTAATTTATATTTTTATTCCATAATATTATAATTTATTTTATATAGAATATTATGTGAATTGTACTTCTTCAGATTATGATGATTTAATCTGCCCTGTCCCCAATATGAAACATTTTTTATACCAATAAAAAAATTAAGGGTACAAAGTCTACACTTTGTAAAATAGTGTCCCAACTCAAATATTTCCTCAATTTGCTATAAACATGGACAGCCTCAAACTTCGAAGCCACGAAGATATCTGTTTAAACCGGTTATAACTGAACTTTTTTTATAACACCATGAAATCAATAGTCTTATTAAGGAGGATAACCAATTTAACAAATCTTGTGATAAATCCGAATTGCAGAGATTTTCAGATAATGACAAGTAGTTCATATATATCAGCGGCAATGTTTATTTTTTCACTTTTAAATCATTTTTTGAGTGCGTCAGATAATGACAAGTCGTTCATATATATCAGCGGCAATGTTTATTTTTTCACTTTTAAATCATTTTTTGAGTGCGTTAAATTTAAAAATATGATTTTACCGGAAATGTATTCCAGCAGTTTAGAATACCTATCTTATGTGTCGATAATTTTGCCTTTAATTTTTGAATCATTTATAATTTATATAAAAATCTACGGAAAAACGAATATAAATTATATTATGTAAAAAGTTATGAAAAATTTACCTAAAATCATAGGGTAGGTATTCCAAACATGATAGAATAAATTTCCGATAAAATTAGATTTTAAATTTAAAAAAATGCGCTCAAAAAATTATTTATAGTTGAAAAATAACACATTGCCGCCAACATATATTGTATGGCAAATGTTAATTAAAAAATATGATATGTATATGTATACGATTTTATATGTTATGGAACCTGTTTATACGGTTCTTTCTTTTTTTGGAATATCTCACTCCTACGATAACTATTTAAATATTAAAAACTTGCTTTAAATAATTTCAAGTAAGCCATCTATTAAGGCAAACTTGCAAGACATTGATAAAAGGTATACAGTTGAAATATTGTTTGCAATTTATTTTTTTATATTTTCAATAGATTCGGAATCTATTAAATTAGATTAGTGGATGAAATCATAGGTCAGCCAAGGTAGAAAGCTTGAACTTAATTTTAGTTTGAAAATATATTGAAAAAGAAAAGGCTGACTTCGATTCCTTTAAAAACAACACTTATACCAGATTATTAATATTTTTGATGAGGTTCTGAATGATTCTTTTGAAGATGATCTATTAATTTTTTTTTAAAATAAAGATTATTCTTTAATTTTTAATAAATTTACCCAATTAAAATTTGTATTTATTTAATATAATACAACCCTCCTCTTTGCGCCACTGAACGTGTGTTTAGCACCGCGAAAGATGTGTTAAGCACTCTTCTTTATCTTATCAAAATTTTGAAAAACAATTGTTGAAAGTTAAAAAGTTATTATAAAAATATTTTATCTTATAATATATTATTTTTGTATAATTTTATTATATTATAGGAAATTTTTGTATATAATACTTAATTTTTCAAGTAACAGAGTAACGGTAACGCGTTATTTAGTAACAGTTTGAACAGATAATGCTAAAATTCTTTTTTGTCAATTTTTTTTTGAGATTCCTCAATTATAAATAGAGTAGTGCGCCGTCATACCTATCCATTTTATCAAGCATACATCATCACCAAAAAAGTGTTGGCACTTGACATACTGCTAAATTTGGTGGCATGATGTGTGACACATAATTTTATTAATAATAATAAATAAAATATTTACTATTTTAAGTTATTTTATCTATATTTCATATTGATAATAGTTTAAAAATCTTGTGATAAGACAATATAAAACTTTAAAATATAATGTGCCTACACGTTGACATATCATTTTAATAATGCTAAACAAAAATCCAGTAAATATTCTATTAAATAGAATATAGAAACAGGATCTGAAATTAATGATTGATACTCAATGAATGGACCTTTAAATTTTCTTAAAACTATCAAAAATGCATTAAAATTTTTATCCGCCCAAAAAGAGTTTACCATAAACCTTTACTTATTATTTTATACATTTTTTTTGTTTTTTATATTAAGAGCGACAAAAACCTTCAATCGATTTTCATAGTGAATGAATATCTAATAGAAAAAAGATAAAACACCTAGACATTTTATATACCAACATGCAGCGTCTCTGCAGCTAGCTATACAGGGATACATTAACAGATATCTAGATTTTAGCCACTAAAAATTCATCAATTTATCCCCTGAATTTGGAGCTTCATTGATAAAAATGGACTTTCCATTTATGCTAGAAAGATTCCGTGTGTTTCAACTACAAACACGCCTAGTAAACATATTTTTTTAATATCTGAACCTTAAATTCTAAAAGATTTTCATTATGCCTAGTTTTGTTAAATCAAAAAGATTTAAGCAGCAAGCAGGTTTAAGTAGTTGCAAAATTAACCTGAACACTAGTAAAATTAACCCAGACCTGAGCATAAAAAAAATTGACTATAACCTAAGCAGACCATGTGAGTGACACCATTGTGCATACCCAGAATTCTGGGCTGGGTTTAATATACTAAGAATTTTGTAGTAGGGTTAAATCGTTGAGTTTTTGTAAAGGATTTGGGTCAATATTTTTCAAATCATGCTCAGGTCTGGGTCAATTTTTTCTACTGCTCGATGTCAGGTTGATTTCTCTTACCTTTACTCAAGCTGCAGACGCAGGTTTTGGGAATTCTAACAACACTAACCTTTCAAATCGAAATTAATTATCTTAATACATGTTAATTATAACCTAATAAAATCGTTAATATGATATTATAATTTGATTATTATAAATATAAATTTAAATCTGTATAACTTATTTCTAAAATCTGTTCACATAAAATTTAATTTATAAAATATTTGATGTCGCCACGCCGCCGCCTATTTTTATGGAAATATTCAATAGGCCGCTACCAGCCGATTATTTAAAAACTCCCCCGATGAAGTTGTCGGCGCACTGATCTAATTATGTGCAATTTTTATCTTAAGTTTGGATTTGACTTCTATCAAATGTTGAAATATCGCCTTATTATATTCAAAACGTTTATTATGTATATTATATTAAATAAAATTATTTCATATCCAGCTTCCATATATGTGATTAAGATCAATTTTCAAAAAAGTCAATTTTCAAAGAGAATAAATAAATTTCCTAAATTGTTATCCTGAATTTAAAAAAATATTATATTGTTTGTTTTTATAATAGAATATATAAAAGAATCAAGAATATTTAGTAAAGTTTTATATAATAATGACATATATTTTGTAATTCAATCATGTATTTACTTTTTAAAATAAAAGTTTACAAAATAACTATTCATTCATGTAATTGTTTTTGCTTGGAAATATAAAAAGTTGGTTATTTTTTTGCCAATCTGCATCCAAATTTAATAAAATGAGAAGGAAAAAATTATGTAATTTTTTATCCTTATATTTATCAAGTAATATTTAATTAATTTCTCTTAATTCTAGCGCTTTTTTATATCCTTATTTTTTAAACATAATTATTACAATAATCTTGATTTGATAAAAATACAATTGACATGGACAAAAACAAATTATCATCAAATTCAGTAAATAGTAATGATTACACAATTTTTTTTGAACATGAAATATTCTCGTTATAACATAACATAACAGCGCAACATATTTAAAAATTATTATCATATTTATGAGGACATACAAATGGTTTATCATTTAAAAAAAAATACAACAATAAAGCAAAACACGACTTAGAGTATATTGTTATTAAAAAATTTAGTTTTTACAACGGAATTAGAATTGGAGTGGTAAAATACACCTTAAATTGAGCCTCAATAAACCCCATGAGTTGGCTCGATAAGTCGGCTTTAGAGTTTCAAAACCTTTAATTCAGTTTAAACAAGAATAGTGAAAAAATTTTGATTATTCTTGGAAAGTAGATAATATAATAATAGAATGAGCTTCTTCTTACTACAACACATAAGTCCTAGAATTTTGAATTTAAATGTATTTAATTTTCAAAACAAAGTGGCTGAAATTATCATCGTGGGATAAAATAATTGGCCGAATCAAATTAATTTGAGCCAACTCTGAAGCTGACTCACGCGAGTCGATTTAACTTAGCCTTATAACAACACTGTTAGAGTAAGACCTAATTGTAGCATATTAGCTTTTTAATTTTGGATTGTAGGGCTGTTATTGCATGGTCATCTCCATGAATCTTCAATTCGCACAAAATTACCCTTTGCAATTTTTACCTCAATCATTTTTTCACTGACTATTCCCAAGTTAATTTATTTATTATTTTCATTTCTCTAACGTCTAGAAGGGAAGAGGGATAATAGCCATTTGTCCTCAAATGGTTTTAGGGGATGGAGAGGGGGGGGGTAGGTAAGGTATTTATAGATTAAAGACAAAAATAACTGTGTCTAATTTATTAATAGATATTTATTAAAATTTATTGGCTAATTAAATTTTGAATCATTCACATAGATAGAATTTTAGTAGTTTGAATTTATACACGTTCATGGCTGATATTTGGATTACGGTTTAGTTGACTATCAACAAATAATTTTTTATTCCTAGCCTAAATTATTGGGTCTGACGTTATAATTAATATTTTGTTGGGAGGTTAATGGCAGATCATTATGAATTTTTTTAATTATTACTCACAATATTTGGTAATCAGGGGTATGGTGTGAGGGGGGGGGGAAATGAAGTCTTCCTGATAATTTCTATTTTTATTCCCATTTCTAAATTTTGAGTTGGGGAGGAGGGATTATTCTTCGCCAAAACATTTTAAGTGTTAAATTTAAATTCCTTTTTTCTTTTAATAATTTTTATAAAGACAAAAATAAAATTTCATTTACTTTTTATAAAATTTTTTATGGTCAGGTGGCACCTTTATAGCACAAAAGATAGAGAAAAAGGTTTATTTTCATTATTTTTTCATTTTATCATCAACTAAAATTTTAAACACTTTCATTTTTACAATTTTAATGAATATTATAAAATTGAAGGTAAAAAAAATATCAAATCTAAAATAAAAGCTAATAAAAACGGTACTAGAGAATATACCTACAAAAGTACGAATTGAATCAAATATTTACCGTATTTAATTCCTTATTTGTATTTATACTAATAATATAAACATTATTCGATTTGATTCGTCGTATTCGATTCGAAAATTAAATTCTTTAAAAATACTTTCAAGAAAAAATCTTAAAATTTTTTTTGAATGAATCTTTGAATATATTTTTTAAAAAATTTGTGATTTTATCTTGAAATATTTCTTGTACATGAAAATGACAACTTGTATATAATAGATTTTTTACTAAATATATTTGGAATTTTATGTTTAAAGAATTTTGCTCAAAAGATTTTTTTAGACATTTAAAAAGTGACTTAAAGATGTAGAAATAAAGTTTTAAAATAATGTTCCGTAATGAACTTGTAAATAATCAAACTATACGAATAATTCGATCGAATAATAGATAAAAAAAAATTATTCGACTTAATATATTTTCTATATTCGTATTCGATTTTAATAATTTTGTTATTATTATACGATTAGAATAATTTTGTTATTCGTATTCGCAAAATACAAATCAAATTGATTAAAAAGAATCGAATAGCGAATAATTCGTTTTAGGTATACCGGAGAAGAAAATGTCGAAAGTAACAGGTTTTATTATTTTTTACTCTATTTCAGTGGCTCCGACTCCACGGAAGCGGAGTGGTTCTCAACCCTTTGAAATATTTTATAAAGTAGATATTATTGACCTAATATTATTTTAACGTTAAATTTTAAAAAAATTTAAAACCTCATTATATATATTGATGTTCACCAACAGAAAATAGTGGTGATAAATCGCTTTATTTTTATCACGTTTTGAGCAGACAAAAAAGCTTAACAGAATTTTTAAGTGAAAAATGTCATCTCAGCCTCAAATTGAATTTAAACTTAAAGGATAACTTAATCTTGGAAAATAATCACTCGTAAACTTAAAATAATCAACTCGTGCTTGAAGGCTTAGAATTCGATTGCTATGTCTGTGTCGATTTTACAACACTAGGCAAAAAAGAGTTCAATTTTAATAAAATCTTATAAAGCTTAAATATGAATTTAAATTTTTTAAATAAGGTGGGTTATTACATATTTGGAAATCCTTTTAAAGAAATACAAAAATTGTGATATTTTTTTTAGGTTTTTCGTCGTCCCATTTGCCCTGGACTATTTTTTATTGATTGACTGATTTTTTTTTAACTGTGCTTTATCCTGCAATACTGCCAAGTATGAAAGAGCTCAGAGCCGGGCAGACAGAGGGCAAGCGGGGTAGCCGCCCGTTAGCACTTGAAAATAAGAATTTTTTTGCACATACTTACAAGCTAGGCATTATTCTTTTTTTTGTAAAAACCCATGTATGAATTTTGTAAAAAGGTATGACATGTGCTATATGAAAGGTTTCGAACCGTTAAGCATAACGGTTCGGTTCTTTCCGGTTTTTAGTTTAATATTTTATAAAGGTTTTGTTCCATTTCAGTTTTTTTTTAAAAAATTCATATAGGTCCGGTTTATAATTTATAACGGTTCTTTTCGGTTTGTTCCGGTTTTTATAAATTTGATTTTAAAAAAAATTAATCATTAACCATGTATATATTAATTATAGAGAAAAATCTTTTTAATTTATAATTTCTTATTTAATTTAACCATGATAATCTAATAGATATTTTTATTAAACTTAGTAAATATAAATCAGACAAATTAATTTTTTTTATTTCATAAATAAATAAGATAAAAACAAACATGCGTAAATACAATGGTGAATAGAATAACGCATAAATATAATAAAATATATACCCTTTATGTTTAAAAAGAGAATTAGAACAGATAACTAAAATTTTCTAATATTTCAGGATTTAATTTAGTTCTCTGCTCAGAGACTATAAACTTAAAGCTAGAAAATGCTCTTTCTACGGAAACCTGCGTAGCTGGAACTGCTAGCACAATTACAGCTAACTTATAAAGTTCTGGCATACTATTCTTTACATTTTCCCAATAATTCAAAAGATTAGTCTCTTTTTTTAATCTCTCTATATTATAAAATGACCGAATTATATATTCTATTTCTATACATTTATTATAATTTTCTATGCCCTAAGTATTATTCTTATTAAGACCTTCATGCGACTTTAATAAATCTTCAAAATCATCATCTAAATTATCTTTCTGCGATAGGCATAGTATTTAGTCAATAATAGATTATTTAGACTTTGTATCTAGTTCCAAGTTTTACAAAGATGTTTTCTCGCGATCTCTCTTTCTTCAAATGTTAAAAATACATTATATCTTGGGTCGAGATAAATAGCTGAGCCAAAAACGTCATTTTTGAAATTTATTTCTTGTACTTTCATCGTAGAAACTAAAAGTCTGGCAAATGGAGTGTCTACTTTACTCGTTTATATGAATTGCATTAAATTATTTTTATTTATTTATGGGTTTTATATTAAATAGACTTACATTGAGTTAAAAATAGGAATTACATTTTGATGTTAAACTAAATATAAATACTATAGTTTAACTTAAATTACCCATTCTGTCATATTCTATTAACATAGAAATAAAACTGACCATTTTAATAAAATATTGTTTTATAACAATTTCTTATTAATTAATATATTCAAAAAAAATTTATCTTAAATATTTAATTTGAAAAGAAATCACCAATTTAAAAGCCCCTAAGGAAAATTAAAATTTCAAATTTAGGTTAATGATTTAAAATTAATTATTTTTTACAACTGTTTTGTACCGATTTAAACCAATTCAAAATATTTTTAACGGTTCGGTTCGCTCTTTTTATATTTTTTTATAACGGTTCGGTTAAGGTTACGGTTCAGAAAATCATAACGGTTCATTCCGGTTTGGCGGTTCGGTTCGAAACCCTGGCTATGTGTATTTTAACATAAAATTTGATTTAAAAAAAATTAGTTAAGAAATTGCATTTTTTTTATCGAAATTTGATATAATATTTTTCAACCACAATCGTCAAATTAAGATTAGTGAGGTTCATAATCATTACCTTGGAAATCGAATTCAAAATGAAATTATTAACTTGATAGGATATAAAATCCTAGAAAAAAATAATTGTAGATGCTATTAAAAACGCAATATATTTTTTTATAATATT